CTGGTTAGCATGCGGATCCTGATCCAGTAGGTCTGGGATGGGGCCTAAGATTCTGCACATCTAATACGCTCCCAGGTCATGCCCATGTTGCTGGCCTGTGGACCTTCCTTCCACCGGCAAGTGCTTCCTCGCAGCTATTCAAGAGAGTGGTGTGGTGCAAATCGGGTGCTGAGTCATTTGGTCACTTTCCCTTCTTGTTAAGTCAACTTCTACCATTTCACATGCATAGAAGTTTTGACAAGCCCTTGAGTCTTTTGTTTCTTTCTGCACCCCAGTAAAAAAAAAAAAGAACAGGCCAGGCGTGGTGGCTCACACCTGCAATCCCAGAACATTGTGAGGCTAAGGCGGGCAGATCGCAAGGTCAGGAAATGGAGATCGAGACCATCCTGGCTAACACGGTGAAACCCTGTCTCTACTAAAAAGACAAAAAATTAGCTGGGCGTGGTGGCAGGCACCTGTAGTCCCAGCTACTCAGGAGGCTGAGGCAGGAGAATCACTTGAACCTGGGAGGTGGAGCTTGCAGTGAGCCAAGATCACACCACTGCACTCCAGCCTGGGTGACAGAGCGAGACTCCATCTCAAAACAAACAAACAAAACAACAACAACAAGAGAAAACAAAACAGATTCTATACTCATTGCTTCCAGTCTACTAAAGGAGAAAGAAAACTGGACTGGGCATTAGGTGACATTAACTTCAGTCTCAGCTCAAAAAACCTCAAGGTTTTTTGGCCTCTGTTTCCTTTCCTATAAAGTGGGCTAACATAGTGGCTGACCTGGTTATTTCAAGAAGAGAGTGTGAGATTGCAGAGAGAGTGTGGGCTTTCTGGTGTCAGAACCAGTTTCTTTCTTTTTTTTTTTTTTCTTTTGAGACAGAGTCTTGCTCTGTTGCCCAGGCTGGACTGCAGTGGCCCGATCTCAGCTCACTGCAAGCTCCCCCTCCCAGGTTCAAGCCATTCTCCTGCCTCAGCCTCCCGAGTAGCTGGGACTACAGGCACCCGCCATCACACCTGGCTAATTTTTTTTGTATTTTTAGTAGAGACGGGGTTTCACCATGTTAGCCAGGATGGTCTCAATCTCCTGACCTTGTGATCCACTCGCCTCAGCCTCCCAAAGTGCTGGGATTACAGGCGTGAGCCACCGCGCCCAGCCTGAACCAGTTTCTAATGAAGAAAAATGACTTGCCTTCTCGGAGCCTCACTTTCTTCATCTGTTAAGTTAGAGAGGAAAAGAAAATGTGGGATATATAAGTGTGCAAGGCCTGTCAGCTGCCAGAAGTGCAACAAATGTTGAATCCCTTCTCTGCTCAAAGGGCTGTGATGGAGATTAAAAAGCCCCTTCTCAGTAAGGCCTCCCTGGGCACCCAATCTAAAATGTCAGGCCCCTCCCCCTTTTCTCCTTATTGCGGATCACTGTCTAACATTTGACTTCCTTATCTGGCTTATCATCTCTCCCTCGGCGAAGGGCCATGACGTAAGGCTGGGAATGTGTGTCCCGGTGGCTCGCTAATGTATCCGTGGTGCCTAGACCAGCCCCTGGGACATGAATCTTTGTCGAGTACATGGACCGGCAGTGCTTTAGATATACTATTGCGTTATCAGAAGCCATTTCTTCCACACCCCTGAAGCCAGAATCATGCACATGGAGAGGGTATAAAGCTGTTGAAAAGCGGAGCCCTAGCAGCAAACAGCCCAGGCTGAGGCTTTGAGGACAACAGGAGACAAAGGAATACTTGATGACTTCGTAGTGGGGGACATTGGAGAATTAACATAGTCAAGAGCTGCGAGGCAGTAAGAGGAGAGTCTTGGGCAGCCCTCAAATAGAATATTGTTCCTCCTCCTCTCTCCACCTCACCCCAGCTACAAGAGATGAATCCTGTTCCCTCATAAGCCAGCTGATTCCATGACACAGTAGTTCCTGCAGTCCCCAAAATTTATCCCAACCGCCTTCCTCATGCTCAGCTTCCAGGCTGCTCATTTCCTTGGCTTATTCACCCTGTGTCAGTTTCCAGCGTGGCCCAGTCTCCAGGATCAACACACTCAGTTTGGGATTCTCTATTCAAGCTCTGATCTTGATTTCATATTCGCCCTGTAGCATCAGGCACTCAACAGTTGGGTCAGGGACACCCTGCAGTCTGAGCCCATTTCCGGGGGAGAGTGGAAGAGAACATGGGTTTAAGGTCAGGTGACTCTGGGTTCCGACCCTGAGTCCTTGAGTCACTAGGTTTTGCCATCTTGGTCAATTTACCCGACCTCAGCTTTCCTGTTTGTGGGATACAAAGAGAAATATTATACTGCAGTCTTGTTGTGAGCAGTGATTCTCAAAGTCTGGTCTTTGGCACATCAATCCTATGAGATGGAAAGGGGTTTTATTGTCAAGTGAGTTTGGCAAATGCTCAATATCATATCCTCGTCTTGGGAATTCTCAAATAACAAAAGAATGGGTTCCACTTTCATTAACTCAGTTTTTCCAAGCACCAGAATCGTTTTTGCAAGGAATACCTGTTAGCATCCTGCAGAACCAATGTTCTGTGTAACCCACCATGGGGAAAGCTGCTTGGGAAGATTAGAAATGCTCAACACCAGGTCCTCTGCTTGGCTCCTGGCACATGCATCGTGGACACCAGGAAGCGTGAGCCCCTGTTGCATTTCTTCCTAATATCAGGGATGTTTAGTCAAACCTATCCTACCTCTACTACAAAAAAGCATTTTAGGCTGTTGAGACAAGTAGTTTTCCCAAATATTTTTGTTGAGCCCTTTTCATGAAAGAGAAATAACACAAACTGAAGTTAATGACATCTGTACTTTGGAGCCTCGCTCTGTTGCCCAGGCTGGAGTGCAGTGGCATGATCTCGGCTCACTGAAAGCACTGCCTCCCGGGTTCAAGTGATTCTCCTGCCTCAGCCTCCCAAGTAGCTGAGACTGCAGGCACTCACCACCATGCCCAGCTAACATTTACATTTTCTTAGCAGATATGGGTTTTTACCATTGTTGGCCAGGCTGGTCTTGAACCCCTTACCTCAAGTGATCCACCTGCCTCATCCTCCCAAAGTGCTGGGATTACAGTCATGAGCCACCATGCCCAGCCCACATCTGTACTTTTAAAGCTAAAATATGAGCACTCATAAGCCTTGCTCTGTAGAACAGTCACTCTTGGATTTCTGGGAAGTGATTACTCAGATCTACACCAACAGGAAATGGTGAAGTTGGGTAACTTGTCCAAAGTAGCAGAGTCTGAGCTCTTTCTAGTGACACCACCACCCTACACACACAAATTAGGGTATGTCCTATCATATAGGTTCAGGGGATCTGAATACATTCATGTCTTATCCTTCTAAAAAAAAGTCTAGGCCGGGTGCGGTGGCTCATGCCTGTAATCCCAGCACTTTGGGAGGCCAAGGGGGGCGGATCACGAGGTCAGGAGATCGAGACAATCCAGGCTAACACGGTGAAACCCCGTCTCTACTAAAAATACAAAAAATTAGCCGGGTACAGTGGCGGGCACCTGTAGTCCCATATACATAGGCAGGAGAATGGTGTGAACCCGGGAGGCAGAGTTTGCAGTGAGCCGAGATTGCACCACTGCAGTCCATCCTGGGCAACAGAGCAAGACTCCGTTTCAAAAAAAAAAAAAAAAAAAAAAAAAAAAGTATAGCAATATGTATCCCAAAAGCCTTAAAAATCTTCCCATTTGGGAATGCCACTTCTGAAATGACTGCAAGGAAACCGTCTAAAATAAAGACAAAGAGATGTGCATAAAGATATTCAGGCCAGGTGCCGTGGCTCACACCTGTAATTCTGGTGCTTTGGGAGGATGAGGCAAGAAGATTGCTTGAGCCCGGGAGTTCGAGGCCGCAGTGAGCTAGGATCACATCACTGCACTCCAGCCCGGGCAACAGAGTGAGACCCTGTCTGTTAAACAAACAAAAAAATATATATTCATCACAGCATGATAATAGGCAGAACCAGAAACAACCCAACATTTGGAGAATAGTTAAATGTCCAACAGCTAGGGAATGATTACATCCATTATGAGGCTTCTCTACATTAAATATCTTACAGCCATTTAGACTGATGTTTATTAAGAATTTTGAATGATACGGAACATGCTTACACTATAAGGTTAAGGAAATAAAACAGGCTACAAAAATAAAATGCATACACTCTAATAACAGCTATGTTGGTGCACTCCTAGTAAATTTACCAATATATTAGGAGTGGTTATTTCTGAGTGGAGAGATGATGAGTGATTTTTCTTCTATTCTATATAATTTTATATATTTTTCTCTCTTTATTCTACATGTTTTTCTGTATTTCCAAGTTTTATACAACAGTGATCAAGAAAAGGTAATTATTTATTTAAAAAGAAAAAAAGACCCGTGAGTTATCGAAACCAGTAGATCTAAATGGCATTACAAACACTACTGTGTTCAGAGGTATCTCCCCTATCTAAGCAGTGCCAGGTTAGGGAACGCCGCCCATCAGCGTTTCCCAAACTCCAGGAACCATCTGTCCCATGGTGTCATATCTGTGTAGCACCTACACCATTTTTCTTGGAAAGCAACTCAGTTTTTTTAAATGTGAATACCTGTATTTTAAGAAAAATTTTAAATCACTCTAAATGGAAAAAAAAAGTCACTTGCCATTAATGGAAAGTAATCACAAAAAGAAATGCAATAAAACAAAACAATATCATTAAACTCTATACTGGTAAACCTTCTGAGCTTGAGACCTGTTTTTGCTCTGTTTAATACAAGCAGGGGCCAAAGGACAGTGTTTTCAGGGAGGAAGGACATATTTACAAGGGTTTGGGAGCAAGAGACCCCTCAAAGGATTCGGGAAGATCGAAAGACAATGAAAAAGGTTTTCTCACTAGAGATTTTGATTGATTTTTGACAATTTGCCCACCTACCACCCAAACTGCCTAGGATACGACACCTGGGGAAAGTGCCGTTCAGTGTTCCCAGCACCAGTGAGTCTCCCAGAGTCTGCCAGTCACTTACCCAGCTGGTTTCAAACTGGAGGACAGGTGTTTGGACCATCAGTGCCTTTCCACTCTTACAATTCCAAAGTCCTGTCCTTGTTCAAGACCGTGGTGTTTGCATGCAGTATTTTTAATGTCTTCATCATTTATTGCAAATCGTGCTTCAGGGTTTGTAAAACCATAAACTTGCCAATGCCGTGCCAGTCCTGAGTCTGAAACAGGCCAGGCAAGTCAAAGTGGGCAAAAAGATGCCACCTGTGCAGGGAAACGGTAGAAGCCAGTTTAGAGCTCAGTGAACTTAAATGTCACTCATTACACAGAGGAGGATGCTGAGGCCTGAAAGGAGGAAGGGACTGATGAACAGTGATAGAGCTGGGTTAGAATCCAGGTCCCCAACTGCCAGTCCAACGTCATCTTTCCACTATACTCCATCTGAAATTTGCTCAGAATGAAAGATGACTGGTCGCTTTTAGTGTGAGAGGTTCGCCTGCTTTGGAATCCCTTTCTAGCTGCAGGATCAGAAACTATTAATAACATCAGAGGCCAGGCTGGGCACAATGGCTCGCACCTGTAATCCCAGCACTTTGGGAGGCCAAGAATGGTGGATCACTTGAGCCCAGGAGTTCAAGACCAGCCTGGGCAATGTGATGAAAACCCATCTCTACAAAATACATGAAAATTAGTCAGGAATGGTGGCATGCACCTGTGGTCCCAGCTACTCAGGAGGCTGAGGTGGGAGGATCACCTGAGCCCAGGAGGTCAAGGCTGCAGTGAGTCATATTTCCGCTACTGCACTCTAGCCTGGATGACAGAGAAAGAGAGACCCTGTCTCAAAAACATAAAATAAAATTCACTTTTCAATCCCGTAATTATTCATCTCCATCACTTCCTTCCACATCCTCAACTCTCTCTTCCTTCATTTCATGCTGCTTTTCCAAAACCACAGCCCTGGTTAAATCCAACTCTCTTGCTTCCTTAGCACCTGACCCTGTGTAGTTGAACAAAATTTGTGAAGAAAGCACAACCATACCGGCTGCTCTTGCATTTACATTCACATTTAATGATGCCAGGGAGTCATACTACACATTCCCAGTCGATAGATATTGGCACATCCCACTCAATATTTGTTGAACAAATGAGTTGAATGCATGGATTTTAGTTAGGGTCCCATTCATGCTACAGTTCTGCTTGTCTAACTTTTAACATTTCACAAAATGAATTTTGCAACCAGGTTCAGGCTGAAATGGTAATATTGTCATCTTCGTTTGGAAGCTGTCTTAATGGTGTTTGCCTGGGCTGGTTCAACCTATAGGCAAAGGAGGCTCTTACTGGATTTAAGTTGTTGTTGGAGCCAGGGCTTGACCTGAGAACCTCAGGACTTTTTTTCCTCCAGAAAGAGCTTTTTGAAACAAGTCCAGGGGTCGGTCCAAAGCTCAGGAGCTGCAACTCAAATGCCTTTTTATAGTATTACTTGCATAAGTAAATAGTTGGCTTCCTATTGCGAGAAAAGATGTGTTTGTTCTCAAGGCTGTCTCCTGGCACCCACTAGGGATGCTGGAAAACACACTTCTGCCCTCCTGATGTTGTTTTGAAATAGCTGGCACAGTTTGGATTCTTCGACCACAAACACAATTGTACGCTGCAGCTGAAATATAAGCCACACTGCTTCCTCGGCTCCGTTTTGAAGCCCATCTGTCCCCTACCTCATCATAAAGCTTACTAAGAACCTGGCCTCCTTTCCACTCACCGTAGGTGCCCATGCCGACGATACGCATTGTTTGTTTTTCATTGATGTCAGCAGTGCTAATGATTAAGTGAAACACTCCACTCCATTCAAACGTCTTGCTTTCACCTGCTGATCCCATTGTGAAGAAAGGTGCAGCGTGCCTTCCAATATTTCTCCCAGAACTGGCCGCTACAGCGCAAGTGAGGTGAAACAGTGGAAGTCAGCCCTGTGGATTTGAATCATGCCGCCCCACCTTTACCAGCACCCTGAATGTCGGCCTTCTTCCCACTCAGATGTGGTTGGCCTTGAAAAGACCCAGAACAGATACCTCATCACCAAGGGGTACTAGACAAAAACGGAAGGTATAGGCAAAGCAGACATAAGTACTTATCAAGGTAGGTACTTCAGATGTGCACTCTTTATGTAACTGACAGCCCAACCGAATATTTTTGAGACGAAGTCTCGCTTGTCGCCCGGGCTGGAGTGCAATGGCACGATCTCGGCTCACTGCAACATCTGCCTCCCGGGTTCAAGCAATTCTCCAGCTTCAGCCTCCCAAGTAGCTGGGACTACAGGCGCCCACCACCACACCTGGCTAGTTTTTGTATTTTTAATAGAGACGGGATTTCACTATGTTGGCCAGACTGGTCTTGAACTGCTGACCTCATGATCTACCCGCCTCGGCCGAATTTTTTTTAATGATGCAGAATTCTAGCTCATGTTCTGACTAAGGTAGGATTTAGGAGTGGGGGCAAAGCAAGAATGCTATTACTCTGAGGTCTGGGTTGCCTTTAACAAGAGAACACCAAAACAGTGAAGAAAAATTGCCAATTGTTGTTTCAAAAAAAGAACAATAAAAAACAAGCTTCCCTGCCCCTGCCCCCTACTCTTGCCCCCTTAACACTCTCAATCTCTCTGTGAGATTTAAAAAAGAAAAGCCCAGGAAATTCCAAGCATGAATGCCTCCCCAGATAAGACAGAAATCAAGAAAACCAAACTTTGAAAAGTAAGCATTTTGATCTTCATGCAAACATGGAGTTAATCTAGGGACAGCTAGGCACAATTACACAGATGAATTCATTGTGTGAAATGGTCGCTGAGCGTAGAGAATGTCAGTGCCAGTTCAGAGTCCAAGCTCTGTAGGGGTCATACCTGAATCTGCTGAGCTGAGCACATGGAAACCTCAGTGTGCATTCAGCCTTGACCATTCTTTTTAATTTATTTCATAGTGGCTCACTGGGGTGGCTTCAGGAAACACAAATCAAGTGTCGGTCGTGGTGTTTGAAAACATGCCGGGTTTTGATATGTGTTTGACTGAAAATAGAAATAAAAATCTTTGAGTCTGTATCTACACGTGTTAAAGTTGTTCTTGAGATAATGGTATGTTTTTTAGACTCTTTTACCTTTCAAATCAGCTTTTATTCATCTGGAGAGGAAGCCCTCTTGAGTGACACAGCCTTAGGCTGATGGCAGCCAGGTGCTGACTGGTTGTGTGAAATTCCCCAGGGGTCCTAGGGGACCATCATTCCTTGACTCTGGGTCTCCACATCTGTCAACTGAGGAGTCCCAGAACTGGTCTCTACGGTGCAAGTGAGGTGAAACAGTGGAAAGTCAGCCCCGTTGATCTGAATCATGCCACTCCACCCTTCTAGCACCCCGAATGTCGGCCTTCTCCCCACTTGGATGTGGTTGTCTTTGGAAAGACTCAGAACAGATATTTCACTAGCAAGTGGTACTAGACAAAAACGGAAGGTATAGCAAAGCGGAAGTATGTGCTGGACTAACTCTGTGATCCAGTTCTCTAGTTCTGAGGCTCCAGCTCACTGGAGTTTGAAAATACCACTCCATCTTGAGGACTTGATTTTAAACAAATGGGAAGTATTTTTACAGGGTAAACTGCTTGTGACTCTCCAACCTAATTGACTTACCAAACCCGCAGACTCAGGGCCACAGGTGGAAAGGACTCAGGTCTTTTGTTTTAAACACCCATCCCTGTTCCAATCAAGAGAAAATTCTAAACTCACCAGGTATCATAGGCCATGATGCATGTGTGAAATGTATCATTACAAAGGAACTACATTATTGAGAAAATTTTCTCCGTGTTTATAATTATAAAATATTTGCACTGAAAGAGTCCTTAGCAAGCATGTAAACCCAGAATGGTGAAAGCAACTTGCCCAAGAGCACACAGGCAGCAGGGAGGGAGTCAGGACCAAAATGCATGTCTCCTGGCTCCCAGCTGGCTTCAGGCTCCTGCATGTGCCCTTCAGAGATAGGAGAGTTCACCTTTGAAATTTGCCTTTTCATATTCACCTGCACCCTTAACAAACAGGGAATGGAAATGTTGAATTTTGCATGCTGGAGTTAGATCATGTTGCAACTCATTAGAGAAATCAGGATTGATGAAAAATTCACAGTTGCCTAGTCTGTAGGACAGTTTCACAAAAGATGACAGTCTTCATTTGACGCTGCCCCTGTTTTGTCACCAGAAGCGGAGCAGCCAGGAGACAAGGGAAGGAAAGAGGCCCTGGTCTCCTTGGGAACTGCGTTACTGACAGAACAAGGAACAGCTTTGGCTGGAGATATTTATGCTGACTTTGGAGCATGGATCAGAAGAGAGTCCTGGCTTGCTGATGGAGCTCAGGCCTATGGAAAACAGGATGGTCTCAGAGTTAAATACAAACAACCAACCCTGGGTGTTGTCTCGGAATATCCCCTGATCTCACCGATTTGGAAAAAGGACTCCCATTTCCAGCATTTTCAAATGCTTAAGCCACCAACACACTTGTCTCCTGAAGTCCGAGCTTACAGGCAAGGCGCCACATTCCTATTCCATGCACCTGAATTCAGGGATCATGTCTGCCCCAGGTCCTCTGAGGAGAGAGGGCAGGGCCTGGGAGGAAAGGATGAGTCAGCTGAAACTAATGGAAATTCAAGGTAAGTCTAAGAGAAGCTAGCATGGCACTGCAAGGTAAAGTGTGGGGAATGGCCCAGAACCAGAAGAGATGAGCTTCGTTGCATTTGGGCTATGTGACCTTGGGCAGGAAATTTACCCTGTTTCCTTATCTGTGAGATAAGGAGAACCATACCTCCTGAAAGTATTAAAGGAGAAGACTTATATCTAGTTCCCTTCCTCCCTTACTTTCCTTAACAGAATCTCTCAAGAGATGCTGCCATTTCCTGAGCACCCGTGAGCTCATCTTATCCTTACAACTGAAAGTGCTTTTTCAGATGTCAGACATGGAAAAACATGGCACGTAAAAGAGGATGTCACTTTGACAATCAATCTTCCCCCAGCCCAAAACCAATTATTATAATCACTGATGAGACTGTGATACGGCCTGTGATTCACTTATGTACTCTTCTGTGTCCATAAGATCAGCTTCTGTCTTCTGCTTCCACCATTCCCAGTTCTCACTCCATTCCTAGTGTCACCTCTTGAAGATGATGCCTGTCCCTAACCTGCTTAAGTAGCAGAAGCAGCTTTCTGTATCTGGAAGAGGAGGGGCCACACAGGGCTTGGGGAGACACCATGATTTCTGGTCCTAGATGGTGTCCCCTTCTCACCATTCCCACACACAGTCACCCTTTGAGCTTACACCATCCTCATAGCAGACCCTGTTGGCACCACTCTGTGGGGGAACAGTAACTCTCAAGGTTCAGGTGCAGAACAAGCACCTGTCAGGTGTATCCTGGCTCTGCCACTCACTGTGGGACCTAAGCCAATCCACTTCCTCTCTCTGAGCCTCAGTTTTCCCAAGGATAAAAAGAAGGATCTAGATGAGGTACCTGTCAAGGGCCACTCCAGCTCAGATCGTCTGACTTGCTTAGTGTGTGATGCGAGTTATCTTCTCCCAGAAAAGGCTTCTTTTTCTAAAGCCAAGTGTAGCAAGGACTCCTCTACCCTTTCTAGGCATTTCAGACTTGCTTTAAAAAGATCTTATTTTGGCCCGGCATGATGGCTCAAGCCAGTAATCCCAACACTTTGGGAGGCCGAGGCGGGTGGATCAGGAGGTCAGGAGTTCGAGACCAGCCTGACCAACATGGTGAAATCCCGTCTCTACTAAAGACACAAAAAAGAAAAAAGAAAAAAGAAAAAAATAGCCAAGCATGGTGGTGTGCACCTGTAATCCCAGCTACTCAGAAGGCTGAGGCAGGAAAATCACTTGCACCCGGGAGGCAGAGGTTGCAGTAAGCCGAGATCACGCGATTGTACTCCAGGCTGGACGACAGGGCAAGACTCTGTCTCAAAAATTTAAAAAAAAGAAAAAGAAAAAAAGGATCTTACTTTACCAGGCTTTTTGGGGCCCACTGCCACTCAGAGGCCAAAATTCTCCCAATGTCAGCGGCTAGAAGAAAATCAGATCAAAAACATCCCTGCGCCTCATCTGAACCCAATTTCTGCTTTGAACCTTTTGCCAAGTCTAGGGCTTATCAGCCAGAGTGTGTGTGAATTACCATATGAAAGGACTCTCTTGGATCATATTTAAAAGAATCATCATTTCAATTTAGATCAGAAAAACACCCAGTCCTTCAGAAAATACATATAAATTCTTCTCTAAATGCCCAAACAGATTTATGCCCATAGAAGATGTAATTATCTCCTTCTGGGATAAAGGAATCTTCTAGCTGTGAGGGTGAGCCAAGAAGCCAGAACTTTCTGCCTAAAAGGAGACTGCAGCAAGGCCACTACAGAAGGTTGTCCAAGTTGTTCACTGCACAAGGGCACTGGGCCAAGAGAGGGTAGCGGAGGCATGAGTAGCGGCTTGAATCCAGTCTGAGCTCCACTGGCCAAGTCATGTGCCCAGTGCAAGGTTACGTCAGTTCAAATGGAGGTGCACCTTTTGGTAATTCAGTAGAGGCACCGTGTATGCTAGCAGGCAGCCACCCAGCATGGAAAAATGGGTTTTTCCTTTGTTAACAAACACATCAGCTCCCAAAGGCTCACAGCAAGAGCAGATGGTAGGAAAGTGGAAGTGAAGGCTGGGTGGCGGGGCAGGCGTGAGGAGAAGCTTGGGAAACCATCTTGGGTGTCTGTAGAGGAGCTTACACCCTAATGCCTCCCAGCTGGCCTACATGAACATGGTTCTGAGAAGACTCCAGTAAGAGACTGTTTCCAGCCCCTCCCCTCCTTTACTGCCCCTCCTTTGGGGCTCTGCTCAGCCTTCCCTGACCTCCCAGCCTACATTAGAGTCCCCGTTGCAGGTTCTCTGAGCACCTTTGTTTTTCCTTTTTAACACTCAAGCTGCACTTTGTAATTACGTGGGCGTTGGGAATTTGAGTCACTTCTATTCTCCCCCCATTAGACTAGAAGCTGTGTGAAGGCAAACTCTGTTGGGTTTTGCTCTTGTACCCCCAGAACCCAGCATAGTGTCTGGGGCATGAAACAGGAACTATGAATGAAATAAAATGGTGTGAATTAAAGGGTGTGAGCCTTGCACTCTGCCTGCCTTTTTGCCAGGCCTAGGAGGTTGTCTGGGCACAGTGACATGTGGTCACCATGACATAAGTTCTGTGCCCACCCCCAGGAGACACAGTCCAGAAAAGACATATACAACCCTGGCCAGGCATTCAAAACACATATGAAGACCAATGAAAACAGCTTCCCAAAACCCACCCCAAGACACTGTGATTCAGGGCTACGATTTGTGTGTTTAACAAGGTCCCCCAGGTGATACTATCTGCCTATCAGAACCAACAGTTACTGTTGCAATAGATACAAAGAAGCACAGGGATCAAAGAGAAGGATCCTGAGGTCCCACATAAAGATCTGTGGAAGGCTTTCCAGCGCAAATGAAGTCCCAGCCAGGTCTTGATGGCTGGGAAGGGCATTCTGGGTCAAGGAAGGACATAAAGACAGAGACATTGGTGCACGAGGTGTGAACAAATGGGGCCAGGGCAGCAGGGTTGAATCCAAATGACAAGAATCCACTCCTGGGGGACAATCAAGCGTAAGTCACCCACCACTCCACTGGGCTCCCAGAGCCCTTTTAGGCAGGAAGCCCACATTTTGGCAGCCCCCAGAGGAGTTCCTCTGCACCCCCATTTCTCATGCAGGCTTCCATCCTATTTTCAGTCCCATTTCCCTTCTCCCTCTTTCTCATGTTCTTCCTCTAGTTAGATTGTGGACTCCTGGGGTCCCATGGCCATCAGGGAAGTATTGCCAGGGACTTCTTTGATAAATAGGCCTGATTTAAGAACTCCAAACTGTCCTGGCTGGATATAGGAGACTGCTGAAGCTGGCAAAAACTGTAGCCCCTAAAGTCAGTATCTACAGCCACGCATCTCCAGTGTGGCAGAGAAGGGTCATTTTACTTGATATAAAAGCAGTATCTGGAGCATGAAGATCAGGCCCTAGAGAGGCCTACGCATCATGCCGCACTTCCATCTTTTTTTTTTTTTTTACCCAGAATGAGGAGGCTAACATTGGAAACGACAATGTGGGATGGGAGGGCAGATCCTCAAAGACCTGCTTGAGCCCTGCCTAAGGTGGAGTGGGAGAATCCACAAGCTGGGTGACTCAGGCTGTAGGAATCCCAGGTTCCCATCCATCCTTCCGTATCTTTCCATGACTTCCTGTCTCCCCACCCCTCTCCCTCTTCCTCCAACGGGCCTGGGCTGGGTTGGCATGCTGGTGCTCTCTCTTAACTGGACTTTTCTAACGGGCCTGTCTGTTGCCTGGACATGTTTTCTACAAGTAAATATGCTGGAGAGAGGAAGCAGAAGTCCTCAGCCCGTGGTTCCTCTCTTTGGACCAAGTGGCCTCTGGGGAACCAGTGAGGATCTGAAGTTCCCAGCCTCTGCACCAAGCTGCAGACCCAGGTGTCTTCTGAGCAATGCCCCGCGCCACAGTTCAGTGCCACCCCGCCAAAGCCCGAACTATCTTGT